ACTTGCTTACGTAGCATCAGGTATGTCTCAAGCAGTGATCGCCTTATCGTGCTTTTAGGTGCTTTTATTATCTGGTGCCTTCCCTCATCCTAGGTTTCTGGTTCGTGTGTCGGCCACTGGCCTGGCCACACTGCAGAAGCCTGAATCAAGTTTCTGATAAGCAAGCATTTTATTCCAACAGCACTGCCTGCCTGTAACTCACAGATACAATGCAAAGAGTTGGAGGTCACCTAGAAAACATGGCTTAGGACAGTGATGGTGAACCTTTTGGGCTTGGCCTGTCAAAAATTCAGAAAATGCCTAACTTGATTCTGCTGGCATGTCACCACCATCATGCTAAAAGAGTGGTGTATCCTTTCATTGTTTTACTAGTCAATGGACCAGACTGGATAGGAGATCCATCAATGGATGCCAGGTGTCCCCAAAGATCTTCTCACAGAAGCTATTTGTCCCTGTTTTCCCAGCAGGGGTGGGAGAGGTAAAAAAGCAGAGGACCCCACCAACTGGGGCAATAGTCAATGTGGTCTGGACAGAACACCAGGCCATCACTATAGCCAAACAGAAGAAGGGGGTCAAAGGGATTTCTTAAGCCAGCATAATTTCCAGCCACTTGGAGTCCAGCAGCTTGAAGGTGATGACTAAAATTACAATTTGGAAAATAAATAAGGCAAAATGGTTGAGTCTTGTTTGATGCTGGAAGTTACATGGTGAACATCTTTGGGGATTCCTTCACTTTGTCTGCTTCCTGATTCATATCCAGATTACTTTATATGCAGTGTGTTTATGTAGTTATACGCAAAATAAATTTCAGGAAATACAATTAGCAGACAGTCCTCCCTGTTCTTTTTTTGTGAAACCGACGGAAAGGTTGCTGGAGACACCCAGCTGCCACCATGAGTTTTGATAAGTTGCTGTGAAACTTTGGGAAGTTTTTCAAGCTTAGTTATGTTTTACTAATTAATGAAAGTATAGTTGTATGCAACAATATTAGTACTATAACTTTAAAATTTATAATTTGGAGAAGAGGACAGGGAGTTGTTCAGATTGGGAAGGAAACTGTGCTGCTATACAAAGAGTCAGTGTGGTGTAGTGGTGAAAGTCTTGGATTAAGAGCCATGATCTAAACCATCTTCAGCCACTGAAGCTCTGGGCGAACCACCCTCTCTCAGCCCAATCTACCTCAGGGGGTTGTTGTTGTAGAGGAAATGGGAGGATGGAACACTGAATCTCTGGGATGTAGAAGATGGGAGGGAAATATTCAGAGTTGTTCCAGAAGACAGGACAAGGAAGAATCGCTTTAAATTACAAGGAAGTACATTTCGGTTGGACATCAGGATAATTTCTTAATGGTATGAACTGTTCCAGAATGAAAAATATGACCTTGGTCGATGGATGAGCTGACCAGAAGAACTAGTTGATCTTCAATTTTTCTTCCAATCCTTCCATGCTATGATTCTATAATCCACCTTCTCCTTTTGAGAAGTCAAAAAACATCCCTGGAGAAGGTAGTAACAAGCCATTTTTAGATTGTTGTCAAGAAGGTCACATTACATAGGAAAATCATATGAAGTCACCAGGAGTTAAGCTGGTGTTAAGAATTAAGTCAGTTTGTACGAGACCTTACCTGTACAGCATTTGACTCAGCAGGCCGCAACATCTGCCCGAACTTTGCTGTTCCTAGAACAAAGTAGGATTAGACCTGGTTAGTAATTGGGAAGGAAACCACCAGGAAATCCTAAGGCTGTGGTATAGACTGGGAATTAAAAAATATTCTAGAGGAAGACAATAGGAAGTTTCACATTATTGTCCAAAAAAACCCCCGGTATAACTGTGATTGTGAAGTCTTTAATTTCATCTGTATTCACCTTGCCAAGCATTAACATTCTTCTAGGCCATCATCACACACCACTATTTCTTTAGTTGCTAATTTTGATCGTGGGAGACGGGTGATAAATACAAGCGTTGTTCCTTGTTCTCACACTCCACACGCACACGATATCCTTACACAACCTTCCGGCGTTCCTTAGCGGCAGGATCCACTAGGGGGCTCCCGCTGCCAACCTCAGAAAGGGCAGCTTCGGAGCTTCAGAGGCGGAGTGCGCCTGCGCCGCGAAACTTTGCCAGCACTTGTTGCAAGGAGGGGAAGCTTGTGGGTTGCAGCCCGGGATTTGGGGAGGGGGGCAGGAGCAGGAAATGAGCGTCCGCCCCCAGAGTTTGGCCCCTCTAGGAGGAAGCGCTCGTTCGCTTGCACCTTTAGGCTGAGTCCATCGTAGAAGTCCGAGCCCGCCTGCGGGGGAATCTGGTGGGAATGGAGAGCTGGCTGTGAGATGCGTCTCACGGGCTTCTTCCAGTGCGCGCAACAACTAGGCAAGAAGGCAAACGCTGGGGGTCTTTGCGCGTGGGAGGAGGGAGCCGCTCCTGCGCTGGGCAACTGCAGCAGGCGAATGAGAAGGCTGGTGTGCAGCGGGTGTGCCAGTAGGCGTTTGGGGATGGGGCGCAGACTGGTAGCTCGATCGTAGATCCTGGCCGGTTCCCGAGCGGCATGCCAGCGCTGGCGACTCAGAGTCCAAGGTGCCCGTCAGCCCCACGAGGTAGACCAGACCAGGAAATCAACTCCGCAGCAAGGCTGAAACTGCTTTTATTAAGAGAGCCTCGCACACCTGATTGTCCTGTGTCTCCTCCGCCTTCTTAGGCTCCGGTGAATTAGGGAGGTGTCTGTCTGAGCTGTTTCCAAACGTTATCTCATTAGTCTGGACTTAATAAATGCTTCACTCCTTTTGTCCAGGTAACCGTTCTTCCATATCTCCATCAGGGTCATCTTCCTTCCTCTCTGCAGCCCCCAACCCAGCCTAGGAGGTTCTCAGCTTGGTCATCTGGGGAGGGGTCCTTGCTCACCACTGGTGGGTGGGCAGCGGCCCCAGCAGGGTCAAGCGTTTCTTTTCTCCTGCTCACAGGATCAGGCCACCACCTCCTTTTTTTGAGGAGGGGAACCTAGGGTGGGCCAAACAGCTGGGCAAGCTCAAGAGGAAACTCAAAAGTGTAGCTGCCTTGGACCTCTCCAGACTTGACTGATCCAAAAGCTAGGCAGGTTGGTTATGGTTAGCCCTTGGATGGGAGACCACTAGGAGATCCTGGGACTGCAGTAGACTAGAGGGGTAAGTTTGAAAAAAAAAAAGTATCCCAAAAGAAGGCATTAGCAAATCACTTTTCTATCATGCCAAGAAAAGTTCATGGGTGTGTCCAGGTAAATCGCCAAGAGCTGAGCTCGGCTCAGAGCCAACCCTCCCTTCTTTGTCAGCATGTTTCAGGTTGTTGCTTTAGCAACAAGACCTGAAGACAAAAGTACAAGGTAGATATTATAAAATGCATTTGCAACCTGAACAGTCTTTTATCAGGGGAAAACAACATGCGCCATGTATAACCACAGTCTTAACTTAGATTATACCAATGTTTCTAATGCAGTCACAATGTCTTTACGGTTAAAATAGCAGATATCCTACTTCCATAATGTTAGATGTTGACCATTTCTTGCCATCAAGCAGAGTGCCAGCAATTCTCTTCCAGGGGTTAAAAGTTGCTTCCAATTCACAGATTATGTTGTTTGATCCGGCTGGAAATTCCTAGCTGCCTTGTCGAGCTAAGATCTCTGAGCCAGAAAGTATCATTGGGTTGCTGAGTCGGGGGGACAAAAGGCCGAGCAGTGATTTATTTATTTAATAAATAGCATATTTATTTATTTAATAATGTTTTTATGGTTCCATTGCAACTGACTGACTGACTTGTAAAGTCTCTGTCTCTTATTCTGGCTGGATTGTAATAAAAAGATCCCTAAGAGCAAAGGTTTCCAAATGCAAATGTTGCATAAAATCTTTGGTCAGCACCTCTAAGAAATTCTAACCGTTTCTTTTCTTTTCTATCACAGAATGGGACCTAGATGCATTTTCCACTCATGAATTGGGGAACATCATTAATGTTTTGAGACTTCTTTATGACATTCTGGTTGTATAAATGAATTGCTGAACCAATCGTGGAGGACCTTTGACCTGGTGTGGTGCTCAGCTTTGCAGGAAAAAATGGATGCACAGTCTCTTTTAGGAAAGGGAACAGCAAAATGGCATCACACCATGGATGAGAAAACAGCCAGCCCAGATTTACAATGCCAGCATTTCAGGAACGTCCGCTACCAGGAAGCCAAAGGTCCCCGAGTTGTTTGTAGCCAACTGCACCAGCTCTGTCATCAATGGTTAAAGCCAGAAAGAAACACAAAGACTGAGATACTGGACCTGGTGATCCTAGAGCAGTTTTTGGCCATTCTGCCCCCAGAGATGGAGAGCTGGGTCCGAGAGTGTGGAGCAGAGACCAGCTCCCAGGCGGTGGCCTTGGCCGAAGGCTTCCTCTTGAGCCAAGCAGAGGAGAAGGTGCATGGAGAAGACCAGGTGAGAGAAGGTTTCATCCTGTTAGTTCTAAAGAGCAAATCACCTATAAACAATATTCTTGAATTCTTAAATACCTCCATGCTAGGGTATGAAGGGTGGGAACCTAATAATATAAGGAGATTTCATTCATATTTTAGGCAACTTGCTTTATTTCCTTTTCCTGATAATTTCCCAGTTATCAAAAAACCAAACTTCCTTCCAATTGAACTGAAAGATGTAGGGACCTGTGCAGATGGAGTCAGAAGATGAGAATTACCTTCTTTTCTTTTCTTTTTTTTGGTATGCTGTTACTCTGACTTCTTCATTCCTGGTTGGAATTTCAGGTTCAAGGGCCCATTGGGCAACACAGCACAAAGAAGAATCTGGCTGATCCTTCTCAAGAGAAGCTATTTCAACAGATCCCTCAGAAGGATCAGAGTCAGGATTCCTCTTCAGGTAGGTAAGGCTTCCTTTTGAACTTCCCTGCAGAAATTCCAATTCTCTTCCCACATCTCATGGGCACCTGAAAGTCAAGAAGGGTTTTTAGAATAGCGTGGACTTCCATGCTCTCATGTAAGGTATCTCCTGCAATGTATAACTGTGGTTTTTAGAAGCCTGTTTTTGCCACCTTTGTCTCTCACACAGGAAGCAGAGTGACATTGTTGAGACTTTCTGAAACACCTCCTCTCCATGGCAGAGCAGAAACATCAGCTGTGTCCGCAGCTCAGGTAGGAACAGGATCATCAAAGAAGATCTCTGGGATCCATTTGGAAGGATTGTTCCAAGTACCAAAACGTAACTAAATAGAGTGAGGAGATCCAGGTTTAAATTTCTGTCCAGTCATATGCATACAGCTTAGCCATCTCTCAAGGCTATTGTGGAGATAAAAATGAGAGAAGAAACTCTAAGAAAGTCTTATTTGGTAATACATATATCCCACCTTTTCCCCTAGATATTCAATGCTTTTATGTGAATTTGTCCAGTCCTAGTCTTACACTCCATACTGGCCTTGTGAGAATGTATTTATTGAAATCTGTTCTATGAAAAGTTTTGATAACAGCTTTCTGTGTTGGAGAGAAGCCCTATGCCTTATTCCAGTCATGCTTGGTTCCTGAAAGCTGGGTCTTCATGAAGTTCCATTTCTTTGCCTTTTCTTCCTTACTTTCTTTGTTGTGTTCTACAATAGCTGGAGTAGGAAGAGGAGAGTCTTCCAAGTATCCATCTTCTCTGGAGAAACAAATCTTCCCCTCCTTTGATGCTCACATGAAAAAGGGCAGGCATGAATGAAGTGTTTTCCATATTTCTGTGCCCCTTGGAAGAATGATCACTTATCCTCATGTCTTCCTTCCTTTGACACCCAAGGGAGCCAATGCAAATAGGGGAGTGTCTTCCATATATTTTTTTTTCCCCTTGGAGAAAAAAATGCCCAAGAGATAAAGGAAAAGATGCAAATTAGAGAGGGTCTTCCTTGTCCTGGCTTAAAGGAAAGATAGCCAAGTGATGGAGTCACAGGCAAATGGGGAACTGGCTTCTACTTTATGGGGCCTTTTGGAGCATTAAGTGTTCCTGCTAATGTCAGGATATTAGGTGATTTCAAGGTCTGAAACTGAGATGCCAGCTCTTTCCCTCAGCAGGTACGGGACGAATCAATTCTGATCTTACTTTCTTACTGAAAACATTGCACTTCATTTTACATTCTACACAAAGATCAGAGAAAGTCTCAACTCTGTACATCAGGGCCCTGCTGCTCTTCCTGGTTGTACAGTTTGATAGCAGCCACTCCTTCATCAACCACTCCTTTCCCACATGATCATGTGCCTAATATCTGTCATTTGGAAGGACTACAAAACCAGGAGCTGCCATCTTGGTAGCCTCATCAGCACCATCAAGTCAGCATCCTAATCAATAAGAATTCCTTTGGACTGCTGCTGTCAATTAGGGCAAGCACTTCATTACTGCTTTTAATGAAAGCTAGAGTTGAAAACATGACACGGTTGACCTCATAACTTAGATCCACAAATATTTCTCTAAAGGATTCATCTGGGCTCAAAAAGATATAGAGGAGGAGGAGGACTGTTTGTAGGCCTCAGTTTGGTAAAGCTTCCTTGGTGACGTGTATGTCCATCCTCAGTAGCAGAACTCATAGAATTAGGGCATAGAAAGAAGTTTCTGCTCTGTCTCCAATGAAGGAAGTCTTGGTTCAGCCTGTTAAGGGAGCATATGTCAGAGTTCAAAGTTTTTTATGTAGAGATGTTCAGTCTAGCCAAAACCTCATTGCTGCTTTTTAACAAAAGCTGTAGAGTGCTTATATTAGAAACTTAGCACCATTGGCCTGATCCTGGCCAGCATCCTCAATTTTGGTCTGAGGAGACCATATACTCTCTCTTCTCAAACAGAGCATGGGAGAAAATATATGTAGAGGAGGAGGATAATTCTGTGGGCCTCAGATTTAACTAGGTTCCTGGCTAACATGGACTCTCTCGTCCTCATTTGGAAAGTCCATAAAGTCTTTTGCACCAAAGAGACTATTGCAGAGGTTCCACACCTCTCTCAAATAGTTTATTTTGTCTCAATAGATCACTATAGTGTATCAGACCTCTCTCCTAGATACACCAAAAAGTATAGAGGTATACAGGAGATTTTTTGCAACAATAATAACATAATCAAAAGAGACAGTGGTCCCAGCCTAGCCCCTCCCCAGCTCCCAACATGATGTGGACCTTTTTAGGACTTAAACAAAAAGGGGGGGGGGCTATTTGGTGCATCACACCAGTTGGCCATTTTATGTGTCGATGGTCATTTTGTGGAGAAAGGAATCTTGGCTTCTCTACAAACTTCTTATCCTAAAAAAAACAAAAAGGATTTCTGGAGAGGGGTGGGATGGAGTACAGAATGGGTGAGTGTGAGTCTTTGTGTCATTGGTAGACTTGCTTTCATCATGAGAATATATGAAGACCTCTTCTTCATCACTGCCAAGAACCTACCAATGAGGCCTGGAATACTACAGAGACAATTTGTCCGCAAGGCATTTGCAACTTAACAGTGTTGGGTCACCTGCATTACAATGTAATCCACTCAGAAGGTGTTACGTCATTCGTTCAGACAAAGAGGATCCAATTGCAGCTAAGCAACTTTTTTCACCTCAACTTGACAGAAATATAAGGAAGAAGAAGGTAGTCCACCCATGAAGCTTGTCCAAAGACTGAAGATGATGAGGACTCTGTATCAAAGCTACCTTTTACCTGGCATGATAGCCCCTTGAGAAAACAGAGGTGGGTATGAGCCTGAACAATTAGGGGAGGAGTGAGAAGAGGATTACTCTGTATTTGCTACCCATGTTAAACATTATTTTTCCAGGAAGCAGCTATCTGTTCCAAAGCTAATGAGAATTGTCTCGGTCTGAAATACTGTGAACCTGATGGGTCCGCTCCTCGTGTGTAGTATTGGATAAATATCTGGAATTAAAGAATAAAGATGATCCACATTAGAGATCAACAGGTCAACCCCAAGAAGCCACGTTCTGCATTGAGTTCCATTGTTAGAGTAACAATTATTTCAGTTCTGTCATGTACCAATCAAGAATTGTCATCTTACAAACGTGAAGGTTGCTTCTAGAGGACAAGAGGTTCATGAATGTCTTCCTTGAGAAGAGTTTACAAATTCTGTTATAAAAGTTGTGTTTTCAAAATGAGCTGTGGAAAAATGCTTGTATTTAATCAGTACATTAGTCTGTGCTTTACCTGCTGATGTTTAAAATCGGGACATTTGTTGGAAGCTACAGTAAGTCTGAATTGTGTTTAAAATTATGCTAATCGCTGAGCAGCTGTTAAAAACATTCTTAAGCCTGAAGCTGATGAACGATGTAGCAAAATAAAACCCACATGTTGATAATATTATAGGTCATCTCATGATTATGGATATGTCATAGATGAATTACAATAAAGTAATTAAAAATGGAGATTGAATTAAGTTTGCCATATTTTATTATTGTAAACAAGCCATTCTTTTAAAAAGCATGAGCAATGTATCTTGCAAATTATGATGAGGAAACAAATTGTGCTTATGGGCTGGACAAAGGGTTGGAACTACATTATCCTAACTAAGTGGGACAAACTAATAGCCAAGGGTTTTTTTAAGGGGTGGGTACAAATATACTGACTGAGGGTCATTTTACCATGCAACCTTGGAGAGACTAAGACTGTACTTCCATCAAGTAAATAACTTCTATTCTGATATGAGGAAATAATTCACTAATAAAGGCTCATTTACCATATGCTCTGCCTGCAGCTATTCATTGCAAATGGGGAGAGTTAATCTGGCATAAAGGTTAACTTTGCTTTGGTTTGTTTTATATTTCATAGGAATATAAATTTTGGAAAACAGAAGAGAAATCAGAAGGTCAGTTTTGCTTTTGTTTTTCAAATTTATTTATTTATGATCATTTGTGTGCTGTCTATACCACCTTTCTAGGCAGCTTACAGTTCTAAAACAAAACAGCCATCAATAAAGCTAGTTAACAACCAACACCACCACAATTAGTAAGGCCAACACTCCTCTTCAAGAATGCTTACCAATTTACACTCAAAGTTCTGCAGAAAGGCATAGTCTTGTCTGCTTTCCTAAATGAAAACTGGGTAGAATCTAACCTGACCTGGGATGGGGGAGCCTAGTTGTTCCAGAGCAAGAGAGACATGACCAAGAAGACCGTCTTCTGGATCCCTGTTCCCTTTTCTAGCTCCTGCTTTGCAGGGTACCTCCGGCCTCCACCCTCTCAGTTTGTACTCCCCCACTCAGAATCCATGTGCAGTTTGGGGGTCCTTCTGAACTTGCAACTCCTGCTTGAAAAGCAGGTGGCAGATGTGGTCAAGAGGGCCTTTGCCCAACCATCTCATGCGTCAATTGTGCCCATTTACAATACATTCTATATGGAACTGCCCTTGAAGACCATCTGGAAGCTACAACTGGTCCAGCATGTAGCAGCATAGGCAGTAATGGGCATGTCTCAGTACACCACTAGTCTCGTAAGTTGTACAGTAGGCTTCTGGATGGAATTCAAGGTGCTGGTTATCACCTGTAAAAGCTTTGTGTGGCACAGGACCTGATTATTTGTAGAACTGCCAGTCTCCAGTTATTTCTGCCTGTCCAACTATGGGATGGGCATGCCTCAGACCTTTCCTTGAGAGAGTGTCATCTTATAGGACCTAGGAAATGTACCTGCTCTGATGCTGCCCCTACTCTTTGGTCTGTATGTTAGGAAGGGGGAGGTGTGTGTGCATTGGTTTTATACTTGTATGCTGCCCAGAGTCATTAATTGTGAATTGGGCAGCCTTGATTAATTGAATGATTATGTGCCACCAAGTTAGCATCAATTCTTAGTGACCACATAGATAGATTTTCTCCAGGAGGATCTGTTTCCAACCTGATCCTTCTGGTCTTCCAACAGTGCACCTATTATGCTGTAATTGAGTCCATCTACCTTGTTGCTGGTCGTCCTCTTCTTCTCTTTCCTTCCACCTTTCCCAGTATTATAGACTTTTCCAGACAGCTTGTTCTTCACATAATGTGTCACATGGACAGCCTTGTAAGTCCTTTTAATAAATAAAAAACAAAAAAATTAAAAAGCAAACCAGTAACTTATGCAGCCCCTACAGTATGGATGTCATTCTACAGTACTGATTTGCCCCAGTCAACAAGTGTGTGACTGCGATCCATACAGGCTGTAGCTTCAAGTCATCTTCAGGGATAACCCCATGAATTATGATAGTGTAACTGGGAGATAGCTCCCTGATCCAGAAAAGGTTGCAGTTAGTGAACCAACTGAAGCTATCCAAAAACCCTCCTGACTAGGCCTTCCACATGTTCCTCAGTTTATTCACTGCTATTCACAGGCTATTTCTATCCCAGTTCAGTGATAGGTTCCTTTTTCAGTGCTGCCACCCCTCTTGATTCTCCAATCGACATGGTTTGATTCTTTAAGAAAGTTGCTATTTCCCTTTTACTTCCTTTACACACAAATATATTTTATTGTTAAAGACATGTTATTGTTAACTCCAAGGTTCTACTCAGAGTAAATGTTCCATATTTCCCCCAGTACTAATTTATGTGGCTAATCTTTTTTTATAATGATAGAGGACATAATCGATCTCACCAAAGAAGGACAATTCTCCATTTTGAATATGGAAGCTGTGAAGCCATTCTCTGATGTCATCAAACGAGGTATAGCTTTCTGGGGGAAGGTTAGATAATGTAATAGCTTTTTATGTTGATGATGCTCTAACCCTGATCTCCAGATAGCCCCAACCCTGTTAGCCTTTTGTAAGGCTCTGAAGACCTGCCTGTTCGATAAGTTCTATTGGTGATATGGTTTTGTTTTGTGGGGGTTATTACTTAACCAGGGCATCATGAGTTTGTACTGTTATGATGGTTTTAATATTCGTACACTGCTCAGAATCACTGCTGCGACATGGGCAGCTTGTTTAAATAAAGAAACAAATATTTTTATGTTTTATATTCAGAAACAGTTGAGTGGAAAACTCTTGAAAATGGAAAGATGGAGCCAGCTCTGGGAACAGGTGAGGGCATGATTTATCATCATAAGTCTGTGCCTGTTAGTTACATAAATATTCTAAAGGGGTGCTTTGTTTGTAGAGCTGACCCAAGTATAAATAGACTTTCCAGAAATGCCCCGTAAAGAATGTAAAGAGGTTAAAAAAAATCTGTGCAAAAAAGAAATGAAAGATGTATTCAGCATACATAAATATGAAGTGGTGAGTCTTTTTCCTTTCTAATCCTTAGGTGCTACAGGCAGTACTCAGGTTATTAAAGCTGGAACAAAACCAAGACCTGTTGACCAAGTCCCCCAGATGACACCATATACAAAACCAAAAGACAAAGGTATAAAACGTAACAGGAGACACCTTGAAGATGATGTCAGTACAGAATGTGTTCCAGAGCAAAAGAGGGTAACATTTGAAGACACCTCTAGGACTGAGCTGTCGGCAAGTGAAAACCACAAGTCAGTGACACGGGCATCCCGGGTGGTTCAGATCGTAAAGTTAGTAAATATGCATTGTCTCATTGAGAACAAGCTGGAAAAGATTGAAAAATACAAAAACGAGTTAAAGATGTTTTGGGATGCTCTCTTTGAGAATGATCTAGGAACTTATGAGGCTCAGATGGATCAAATGCAGTGCAAGATTAAACGTGATTTTAAGTATTCAAAGTATTGATGGTGCATGTCTGAAAGCAATACAACTTAGAGATGGCTTCCTTCCCCCAAAAGAGGAGGAGGATAAACATAAAAGTGGAAGAAGCCTAAGAAACTGTTTCCTTCTAATATTATTCCCATTAACACAGAGCCAAAGGATGTCTTTGATGCTCCAGAGGATATACAGCACTGATAACACCAGTGGATGTTCCTGATGTATTAGAAGATCAGTCTACGATACAGAAGTCTCCTCCCATAGTTGAGACATCATGGTTGAGTGTCTGATTAGCAAGTCTGATATGTTCATAAGGACCAAATATCCTACACTGAAACTGTGGAAACCCTTACAAAATGCCACACACCAGGTGTCAATTATATAAATTCCTACATTGCTGCAAGTGAGAACAGAAAATCTTCTTTTTCCAGTTAAAAAAAACAGGAATTCTTTTCAGATTGAATGTATTTTTTAACCTATATTGGAAATCTCATGCAAAATAAACCAAAGTTTTGCAAAGTTATTATTTTGCTTTAGTGGTTTTCATTCTAAGGCCTCCAAAAGCAAGAGTCTTTTAGCAAAGTCATTAAGGAGAGAAGCCTATGTTAGTAGGCATTAATAAAGATAGCAATCTATGTGTTGCTGGAGAGTTATTAGCCATCATACACGCAGGATAGCTTGCAGATTCAGAAACATGCACAGATTGCAGATGTCAGGTTCGGTCAGCACGGGGCTTCAGGGAAGCTCGCAGCCAGACCACGCGGAATCCACCGGCGGTACCTGGGGAGGAAAAGAGGAACTGAAAGCGCCGCTAATTAATGGGCCACCTGCGCCCAGCCAAACAGGAAAACCGCAGCAGAAGCTTTTAACT